TTTCGTTTTTTTTTTTTTTTTTTGCCTACTTGTAGCACTTGTTACCGGAATGTGAAACTGAAAAAGTTTGCCTCAAAAAGTGCGCTGATGGCAAAATTAGACCACCCTTAAGTGCGAAAAAAACGCAGTTTTTTCCCCGCATGACCACCTTTAAAAACTTATTTTTTCTTCACGCGCAACGAGTTTTTTCTGATTTTTGCTTTATTTGAAATCATTCTTTTGTAGATCTTGAAAAATAGAAAAAAAACTTGTATTAAAAAATTGTAGGCAAAACTGAAACAAAAACAAAAATTCAGAACGTTTTTTACAAAAAAAAAACGACATTCTGAATTGCTAAAAAAGGTATGTTCGTTGAGGGCGCAGTTTTCGCACAACATATCAAAATTGTAAATTGATATCATTCTGGTATCACGAGTTACGGTGCAATTGGTGACAATGGACCGCAAAAAAGTCCCCGACTGAAGCAGCAATTTGGGGCTTTCACGGGTGACAGGGTCTCAATTTCAAGTAAAATGTTATTAGTTATGATAATATATATAATTAATTTGACATTCTTCAGTTCTACTACTTCAGTCATGCGTAATTAATTAAAATTTCTTGGCTTTTGAACGATCTGACAATGTTTATTTTGAAAAAAAAAATCGCTGATATAATTGCTTTCTCGGTTTGTATTGCTTTGTTTTCTATTGAACTCTTCTAACCCAAATATTTCACAATAAGCACTGCTTTTTGATTGCAAGTATTGTTTTGCTATTTTCGTTCTCAGTGCTTTGTAGTATAGTGCAGTGGAATTCTTTATATGGTTGGACTGGTGAATCTACTCAGAAACGCGTAGCAGGAAGTGCTCCTTGCTTTTCATATTTTTGTAAGAATGTTGGAATCTCTAATATTTCTTTTCATTATTAATTTGGGACCTGTTTGTAATAGTCATTCTGAGTTAGGATTTAGGCTGGAAGTGCCTCTCTTGAGCCGGCCATCGCTGCCAGTCTTCTTGATATGCCTCCAAGTCTCAAATTAATGCACAGCTGCCAAGGTGACAGCAAAACAGTACTCGCAATTAAAAAACAGTACTGAGTGTGAAATATATGAGCTAGAGAGTTTATTAAATGAGCAAAGCGGTACCAACTGAACAAGTAATCATATATATATATATATATATATATATATATATATATAACACCATATGAACAAAGCTGCTTTTATCGATGTTTAGCACCAGCTCTATCACAAGTATTCGTTTGACAGAGAAGAAGGAATAGAAACGGCTTTTTCCACATATATTGATCCTATGAGCAAAACTAGCGACTGCTTACTAAGTAAAGCTTAATAATTGTTTAATACTTCTTAAAACAGAACCAAACAGAAGCAAAGTTAATCATCAGTAAACTAAGCTTAATACGCCTTACCGTGTAGCTGTGGCGCGAAGTATTATAGTAAAAAACAATTATTTGTTTAAATGATTAAATGATAAAAATGGTTGAAAAAACTGTTTGCTGTTACTGCTGGTCAGTAAGAAATCACTTTATTTAGCCATTACCATTATTAATGTTGAATTTTTTTGTTAAACCATTTTTAGTGAATAGTTTTGCGCAAAATAATTTTCATTACTATTTCTAGTATCACATTTCAGTGATAAAGTGTATCTGGTATCATTAAGCAAATATCAATTTTTACAAACTACAAACAATCATAAGTCAACTAAATGTTACGGTAGTACTATCTATAAGTATGAGAAAAAAATTTTGTGGTTTTGATAATAACATTCGTTACAGTGTCATAAAAATCTTAATGGATGTTGTCATGAAAAACTGCTTTTAGGTGAATTAATCTGTCAGTTCAAATACCAACATATTAGGATATCTATGAAAGTGCACTTCGCATACCTCCGCATACCTTCGCATATCGAAAAAAATGTTAATCTGTCAAATATGAGAAAACCGTAAATACAGAAACTAAAATTTGTAAAATTTTATG